TATATATATATATATATATATATATATATATATATATATATATATATATGGGGCGTAATCACGCGTGTACATTGTTTATACTAATGTGTGGGATCAGCTAGGCACAGTAGCGCGGAAGTGTTGCAATATAAAAATAGTAGGCTATAGTACGGGTGGTCCCCAACATGGCCGTTTACCAACCGAGATTTCTGGTCTCAGAAGTTTGGTCGTACACTCCACATCATACGCTATCACCCCATCTTACAACATTGACAGCGAAAGGAAGCAACCCTCATTAACCCTAGAAGTACAAAACATCGGAATAAAACACGTCTAAATTTAACTGAGAGCTTCCATATGTCTTTATCTCGTTAGAAACGGCAACGCGTAAGCCGAGGGAAGACGGAACTCCGGCTACCCAATAAAACCAATAGCGGGAAGCAAGAACTGTTGTTACTGACCAGTAGATGGCGCCTACGATGATTAGTACAGAAACGTAACATGCATGTTTAAAGAATACATATGAATATGACTTTTCTTTAATTTCTCTGATATTTGCATATTATTGGTAATTGGTTACCATTTGCTCTTACCCCATGATACTACGCCTCATCGATACGTTTAGTACATATATTCCGTAATCGATATAAATGTTTATAATTGTTTTTTATTGAAATTTTAATTTAACCGGAATTATATTTATTCTTCGTAATGAAGAGTGTGTGTCTAGATGTGTCAGAAACATTCAATGCAGCAACAGTTACAATTCATTTCAGCACGTACATTGCTATCAATAGCTAAAATCAGGAGAAAATCAAAGCAGGTTTCTTTTATTCACCCCTGAGATAACATATTTACTTCGCATACCCACATGCCTTCTATATCACTATTAGATATACGGGGTGCTTGAAAATGTTGAATATTGGAATAAAAAACGATGTTATCTTCAAAATAACAGCTCCAGAACAAGTTGCACAATTAAGACCAAACGTACCTTGATAATCTAATGTAGACCTATTACGTTTATAGGCGCCTTAAGAGATTTAATTTGAGATTGCTTCATTTGTTACTCTATTTTAACTAGCTTAGCTTGTGCTTACCGTCATGTATATTTTGCTTAAATTCAGTGATACTTTGCTATATTATGCATGGAATACGCGTAACGCGAGTAGCAGTAGCAACGCGGATAATTTCACATTTGTTTTCTGTATTGACATACTCGTTATAATATCAAATACGCGTATATTTAAATTATGATAGGCCATCACCATATAGGATTTCACTGTGCCTTTCGTTCCCTACCTAATTTCAAAATCTGTAACAAATAACTACCCATATACCCCCAACTAGAAAATAACCCTTTTTAATTTAATAATACTAAATATCCTACTCTGATGGTGTCAAAACAGGATAATGTCACATCATACATATATATATACATACATATATATATGACGAGTCAATTGGCATATCAGCTGGCTATTACGTTGATATAATCATGACAATGACAGCTTTTCCGGAAATTTTTCAGCATAATTTCTTACACGGAAATCCTTAATTCTTTTTGTGACATCTTCTGCCCTTGAGAGTCCATCCCGAGCAGCAGTATCGGCCGCGATTTCGCGTTCTACACGATCTGAACGGAGAGCAGTCCACTGTTTCAGTCAGCGTCGGAGTGCCGCTATAATCAACGCAAACATCAACATGACTAACTGAATGGCTACATAGCAGACCTTATCACACGACAGCTCTTCCGAGAAATTATTTTGTCCCTTATAGATGTTACCAACGAAAACGATAGAGGCAATTCAAGGTCGGCCTAAATACGCGAATACGTATATATATAATATATATATATATATATATATATATATAATATATATATATGAATACGTGAGTGTCTTAGTAGTCTCAATCTATAGTATATAAATCGACAGCACAGGCCCGACAGTGGTGCAATGCGCTACACCTCCCCCCCTTCTCATCACTGTCTCATCTCCTTCTCTCTCTTCTTTTCTCTCTCTCTCTCGCTCTCTCTCTCTCTCTCTCTCGTCTCTTCGCGCTTTCCTCTCTCCTCTCCTCTCCTGATTCTCTCTCTCTCTCTCGCTCTCGTCACCACCAGCTACAACACACAAAACCTTCGGCGCTAATTTTGTTCGTTTGTGTGTGTGTGTGTGGTGTGTCTGTGTTGTGTTGCGTGCGTGCGTTCTGTGCCGTGCGTGCGTGCGTGTGTGTGTGTGTGGGTGTGTGTGTTGTGTGTGTTGTGTGTTGTTTGTAGTGTGTGTGTGTGTGTGTGTGTTGTGTGCTGTGTGTGTTGTGTGGGTTTGTGTGTGCGTCGCGCGTGTGTGAGGAGAGAGCGCGCATCGCACGCAAGACTGAGCTTGAGAGAGAAAGAATTCGCAGAGAACGGGCGAGGTACAAAGCTATATATCCTGCACCTCTCCGAGGTCACTCGTCCAAGTTCGACTCTGCTCGCGCCAACCGAAGCGTTTTCTTCGGGAAATGGATTTGTTGGGATGCAGCCTGAGTAAGGATCCGCCCACACGCTAACACTCATCACTGTATCGCTAAGACGCCGTGATAGAGCGTCGTTAGTATCGCAGCGTCCCTCTGAACAGGCGTGCAGTACATACACAATTGTGTCTAATTTTACGATCGTATACGTTCGAATTTTCTGTAGTAAGAACATCGAAGTCGAAGAACATTCTGACTTTCCGTAAACACGGATGAATTGGCTATCCTGTCATGGAAAGAAGCTGATTTGTGCGACTTTCAAACAGATGCTTAACGACTCTAGTCACTGCTGCTGGTTACGATATGTGCATCTATTTGCGGCCATGTTTCACACGCCTATTTCGCCTCTACTACCCCTTCAATATGCTCCAGTTACGACGAGGAGAGCCGGAATGGATATAGGTTCGTATCGTATTCATTCCGGAATGAAGTAGCGTTGTTGCTGATGCAACTGCTGTATCAATTATACAGCTTCAAATTATTTCAGTTATTATATTATTATTATATAATTTAATTATCAATAATGATTAAATAGTTTTATTATAAGTAAATTAATAATTATAAGTTTAAATTATAATATAATTATAATGTAAGAATGATAAACTCGGACAACGCCGCGTCATAACATGTATTATTAAGGTAGGAAAACCTCCAAGTTAACAGACTGTAGACCTTAAGAGTGACTGACGTCGTCGTAACCGAAAATGTGTCTCGGCTACACGAGCGATTCGTTCGTATCCGACGTAAGAAGGGGAATGTAGCGAACGAAACCGCTTAAACCTGTAAGAAGCATACACAACATTGTTCATGATACTTGGTTCGTCTAATGCCGGTCGGTATACTTTGTAATGTGTAATAACATAAAACTATGAACAATACTTATATGTGATACTAGTATCAGCCTACTGCGAAGGCTCTTGCTTGATTTGCAATACAGTAAAAAGCCCGCGTATAATAACCTCTTGATTACTGTTTCTACTCTACTTCTATACTGGACAGTTCCGTGAGGATATCAGCGTCCAGGGCTATTAGGCTAGCCATGAGGGTGGACCTAGCTTGGGTATAAGCCAGGTCAGTTAACGCTTTAGCCGGATTAGAAACCTGTTGAGGCTAAGATGTTTCCATTGAGACCCGCTTGATAAACCTGTTTTAAGCCTAAAATTTGGAAACAGTTCTTTATTGTGATAAATCCAGATAACAATTGGAAAATTCATAAATCATTTAAAACAACTCTATCAGGCCATTGAAAGTGGCAAATCCGCTTGCAATTTCACTTCAGATATAGATATCGTATAAGTTAAAAATAACAAATATCATAGAATATATAAATAA